AACATAATGGAGTAAAATAAATATTTTCAAGATATATAGATCAACATAATGATATTTGCATCCTAAATATACAAAAAACAAAATTAACTATACCTAACTACTTACGAAAATCTTAATCATGGAACACAATTGTATTTTTTTTTTTTACAGATGAAGTCGGCCAATTTTTTTGAACAGTATGGAACCGGTTTCGAACCAGATCAATGTGAAAACCAATGTGACAAAAATGAAGGAATAATATTCCGCAATAAAAATTAAGAATGATATCTTACAACCTAAAAAAATTGGAAACAAATTCAATATTGATAGAACAGTAAATACAAATTATAGATTACACAATTTGTTAAAAATAATTATAAATAATAAATACTATAATAAAAACTTTAGGGAAAAAAAATATAAAGGATAACTACAAATTTAACTATACAAAATATATGGAAAAAAAAAAATCGTACCTAAACAAATAATATTTTTCATGGCCACACATTAAAAAAAAAAAATATATATATATTGACTCCCTTGCGCAAAATAAAATTTAACTCTTTCAATAGGACAAATTAAAATTAAAATTGTAATAAAAACTTTGTTGAAAATTTAGGAAATTTAATGTATTGTAGTTGTAACTTTAGTAGGTGAATTATGAATATTATGTAATGTTTTTTTGAATTTATTAAAAAAGAAAAAATTCGTGCGCGCATGAGAAAATATTTAAAAAGAATTTGAAATGAAAAAATATTTCAATATGAGTTTTTGGATGATTTTTATATTTTATTAAGGTTCATTTTTAATAAGTTGTAAAAAAAAATTTATAAAACACATGAATTTAAAGTCAAATAACGAAATTGTAAAATTAAATACAATAGTAATAAATATTGAAGTCGTTGACTCAAATATAGATGAAATGAAATCTAAAGCAAATTATAAACATTTTTTATATGCTACTATCGACAAGTAAAGAATAATTAAATATTTTATCAAATAAAGCTAAATTTTCAACTTAAAAATGAAGTATTTTTTTCCACCTCAATAAAATATCAAAATCATCCAAAAACTCGTATTGAAATAATTTTATTCATTTAAAATTCTAAATGAAAGTGAATTTTTTTTTTGAAAAAAACAAATAAACACAGAGAAGCAATTCCATGCATTTAACCTTGTTTTTAGCAATTGGATAAACCCTAAAGTTATACATCAAAACAGAACACTAAACAAATTCTAACAAGGTTAAACAATTAAATCCCAACTAAATTTTAATGCTCCCGACAGAAAATTATTGAAACATGTGTTGTGAATTAGATTTACTGAAACATGCAATTTAACGTAACATACAAAAATAGTAAAAGCAAAATATACTTACAGAAAGACGATGAACATAAACCTAAACAAAAACGAAAAAACATAAAGTTGCAAAAAAAAAAAAATATATTGGAATGAAAAAGCAAAAATATAACAAATAGAGATCTACCTTCAAAGAGAATATTTTGCCACCTCACAGCGTAATCAAGAATTTTTTTTTTTTGTTAAGTCTTTGAGAAATGGGAAACTGTGTAGAAAATTCATTTGCATGCATGTATATATAGGGTAGATAATGTAAGTCGGCAAATTTTTTTTTTTTGGATTTTGTGTGTTTTTTATTGACTAAAATAATATAGTAGTCGGTTATAAAATATCAACAGAAAATACGGCGGCAAATTTTTTTTTTTTTTTTATATGTCAGGTGAAGTCGGCTATTTGGATGAACATGACAAAACCGGTTTCAATGTGAAAAGTAATGTGACGGGAATGAAAAAAGGAAAAAAGTTACTGTAGCAAATCCAGTTCACATGTGTGAAAAGGAGTGTGACAAGAATGAATAGTAAACGTTGGGTTCCCTCTTAAGGGGAAAAATATATATAAAATAATATAGTAGTCGGTTATAAAATATCAACAGAAGATACGGCGGCAAATTTTTTATTTTTTTTTATATGTCAGGTGAAGTCGGCTATTTGGATGAACATGACAAAACCGGTTTCAATGTGAAAAGTAATGTGACGGGAATGAAAAAAGGAAAAAAGTTACTGTAGCAAAACCAGATGAAAGCAGGATAAATGTGAAAACTACTGTGACAGAAATGAATAGTGATCCAAGGAGTGTCACTTTTAAGAGTAGGGTAGATAATGATATGAATTTGGAGTTTGAACACTATAGTTGCTAAATACATTAAACCCT